TAAATTCTTGATCGTAATATAGTTAGACGAACTCATCATTAGAGCTTAAAATTTCTATCTATATTTCCAATATTTCAGGATTAATCGTTGGAGGAACTCTGCATTCCAATCTTCTACTATCTAATCTTAATATAATAATAAGAATATTCCTTTTACAAGCACATTTACCAAGTTCTACCTTTAATATGGACTGTTTATAAATTTAGAAAAAACAATGAATATTGCATGAGCACATAGTTTAGTAATCCTGATTTACTAGTTTATTGGTAAATATACAAAGTTGAATTAGCTGAATTTATTTTTATTTACTCTTATTTTAATCGATGATAAAGTTTATATCGATATCGATAAGTGCAAGTACAACATTTTAGTAATCGTGAATGACTAGTTTATTAATAAACATAGTTTGATTTGCTTAAATTAGTTGTAGTCTTAATCGATGCAGTTTTACGACACGTCATCGATATTGCGACTTTTAGATATCGATATCGATAACTCCACGCTCAACTACGTGTTGGCACAACAGAAAGCTACTGGGCGCCCTCTATCGACAGAAATTGTTCATAACAAGCAAAAGCCACTATAAGGACCCTTGACGGGAGTGCACGACTAACAGATACCTTTAAGCTTTCGCCGACCTGAGCTGCTTGTAACAAATATTAGCAGCCTCTTCTATATAAATATATACATATGTACAAAAACCACAAATATATATATATATATATATACAAACACACACACACATATAAACGCAAAGACACGCGCCGCAAACTGCGCACTTTACGCGTGCTTCTTCTTCTTTCCCAGCCCATACGCTATGGGAAATGCAGTCTAAATATACATATGCATATGAATATCTTCGGTAGTCAGAGTCCGATTCTTACGAAATATGTCGCCCAACTGTGTTTATGTACCACAGCGCAGGAAGGAAATAGGATTGATATCTATTTATTCTGTGTATATAAGACGATAAATATAGTCAAATGCTCAACTCATCGTGCGTTTGGCGTATGAGACTATATATTTCTGTTTTCGCTAGACTTTGTTTCGATATATGTACATATATATATATATATATATATACAACAAGGCCTGACCAAGAATATAGTATATATATACATACATATAAATTGATATGTATAGGTATTCCTTCTAGGCCATGGATATGACCACTTTAAAAGAACGATCCTTCAGCAAATAAACTCTGATACCACATCGTTTAAGACTAACAAAACATGTTCCAAAAGGAAAAACTGTTTTGAATACACAAATCTTTTTTATGTATGTTATAGGCCCTATGTATCAGGCGCAATTTAATATTTTTGACCCTATAAAGCCTATATATTCCTTCCCTGCCTGCTTTTAAAAGCCATACTAAGGGTACTCCAGCTGGATTTATATCTTAGCAGTACTTGGGTCAAAGTTTATCACATAGTTTTCTTGGGAACTATTTTATATTGGGTCAATTTAGACCAAGGTATCTTCTATGCGACTCGAGCACTCTTTGTCCTAATGTATTAAGCACAATTAATTACACAATTTGCCAAACACTTTACAATTGTATACTTTGCAAGCCAATAAAATGCAGGTTCGGTAAATGCTTTTATTATTGTTTTCTTTTTCTATTTATTTTTTTTATTTTGTTCCGATTGAACGACTTTAATGGCGTTGCACCTTGAAGCATTATCTAAACTCTGAATAATAAACATTGCACAATAGCATTTAATAAATATGTATACTTAATAAACTTTTCAATGTTGCATCCTTGATAGTATTTACAATATTTCTGATCGCTTGACTAACGCCAACTGTATTTCAATTACAATTTGCGGTTTACATTTGAGGTTTGAAATTGAATACCGACTACAAGAGAATACTCCACAATACAATCAGTGTGAATGACCATTCTGGAGGATTTGGCTAAGTTGAGGGACTCCAATTTGTTGGCCAATTACTTTAATGTGGAATAAAATACATATTAATTCAACCATATGAATAATTGGGTATTACGAGGAACGAGTTCTAGAACTCTCCTTTAAATAATCCTAAAAGAGATTAGTTATCGAAAAGATAATATAGAAAAGATTTATAGAAATGACCATTCTGGAGAATATGGCTGGGGGGACCCCAATTTGTTGGCCATTTACTTTAATGTGGCATAAAATACATATTTAATGAACCACATGAATAATTGGGTATTACGAAGAACAAATTCTAGAATCCTCGTTTAAATAATCCTTAAACAGCTCAGCTTTAGGTATCTTAAAGCCGTTTTGTGGCATTTTCATTCATAGAGTTTAAGGCTGCAGCCACGTGGCAAGCTTAAATCACACAACGTTGCAGCCACAATTTGCATAGTTCGACCTTGCCCCAAATAGTGTATGCAACAACAGCAAATAAGGCAGCGGCAAGGACATGCAACGTTGTCCTTGACAAAGTCTCTGTCGCGCCGCTTCAGACGCAACATTCGACATAGAACCTTGTAATGAATTTACAACACAGAGGAGAACAACAACAGCAACAACAACTATGCGGTATCCCCTGCAATGTCATGCCCCAATTTGCGTCGTCGGCGACCTCGTTAGCTATTTCCAAAGTGCAGCAGAGGCAGCAGCGGCAGAGGCAGCAGCAGCAGCAACAAGCGGCTGACTTTGACCCATTTAAATCCTTTGAGGTAAGCAATAGACGCAGCGCGGTTATCGAACGCCTCAGTCAGCGTCGACGTCGGCGTCGCAAACATTGCAATTATCTGTGTCAATGTCAGCCGGCGTTGCAGTGGGCGGCGACGCGGCGTTAAAGCAACTGAGGCAGAACATAAAGCTCGAGAGTGCAAAGCATAGACAGACCAACAGAGACAGAGACAGCGACAGCGATAGAGGCAGAGCCAGAAGCAGAGAAGGAGAACAAGAGCAAGAGCAAGAGCGAGCGAGAGAGAGGGAGAGAGCGTGCATACTGCACACACGCGCCAAACGTTTGATGCGGCTGACGGGTTTCGCTTGACGCGGCTGATGCACACACTCACACACACACACACACACGCACACATTCAAATGTGACCGTCAATTTCTATGCAATTTCACTATATACTTATGTGTGTACAGTGTCTGTGCGTGTGTGCGTTCGCATCCTTGTGCCCAATCTCTAATGCATTTTACAAAACAGCACAACAACAAAAAAGAACACAAAAGTGCTCGCTACTCGAACAGGCCTGACTAGAAGATACCCAGTAAATATATATGCAAGGCTACGTGGTACGATTCGTAGGCAAGAGTTTGTGTATTTTGTGAGAGAAACTTGTCCTCGAGAGCTTTAAAAGCGTTATGTCTTAGATTGAATTCTGACTGATAGTCTTTAATGCCCATCTTTTGCCCATTTTTAAGGGGTATTAATGCGCGACGTGCGCTTGACCCAAATTCTAACGCATGACGACCTTGCTCCAATTTTAGCTACACGCTCAGGATTGCAGCGACGCCCCTGCACTTGTGGGTATTCCAATGCACATGCTTGTTAGTATGCACGCACACACATACACACTCACAACATGCAGCATTGAAGGTCGCAAAAGTGGGCGACGCGACGCCTGACATTGCTGAATGTCAGCCGCAAGCAGCAGCAACAATAACTAACGTTGTACTTGCAACTCGCAAGTGCGTGCGTTTGCTGACGCAGCGGCATCATCCGAGACAAGAGCAATAAATTAAGCTGCTCTGGTTGAGTGCTCTACTCGACTAGGCGATACCCTGTTCGCTGTGCTACATGTAGTCGAGATATATATCGATTTTCATGTGTGTATTATATTTAAACGCTGAGAAATTTCAGCGCGATTGAAACTTGAAAAAACGCATCTTCAACTAAATCTATATATTCTTGATCAGGCCGATAAGTTGACCTGACCTAGCTATGTACGTCTATATAAACAAAAACTACTCTTCAAAGTTGAAATATATTAAGATATGCACCTTGCGAAAACCAAGTTGTTCTCCTTAATTTTGTCTATAACTCCTCCCGACCGATAAATATCGATTTTGAGACGTGGGCTTATGTATTGCTGAAAATCGTGAAAGCTAGTATTCAGAGTAACTGACATGTTGTGCTTCTTCTTTTTAAAGAAATTTGCATACCCTTGCAGAGGGTATTATAACTTTGTCATGAAATGTGTAATGCCTAGGAGACATCTATGACCACATAAATTATATATATTCTAGATCTGCATCAACAGCTGAGTTGATATAAATATGCCCGTCCATCCGTCAATTCGTTTGTATGCTTGTATCCAAACTAGTCTTCAGTATTTGCTGTTGGAGGCAGTACATAAATCGGAACCCTACATATATGCAAAATCAAGATCAGAGCACTATACCATATATAACTACCATATATATTCGACCTTTCTGGTTTTCATACCCTAGTAGAGTGTATAAAATATAGCTGCTATAAGAAAGATCGGTGGAATAGAGGGATTTTATATGGCAAAATATTCTGTTTTCACGGTTCGATTTTCGAGCTGTACTATGTCTACAAGGGTATTTATTCTTCGGTGTGCCGAAGATATTCTACTTTCCCGCTTTTCTTTTATTTGTACAAGTAATAATGATGTAATATTTTTAAAAAGAATTTTGATTTTTTTACTTCAATTTGGTTATGTTTCATGAATTGTAATTGGATATTTGTCGAATTATATTTTATTTATCATTTTCATTTTATTTGGAATTATTCATTATTTTTTATATTTTTTCAAATACTCCTCGTGAACTCTTTTGTTATTTTTCATTTGGGTTTTTCCCCGGATTTGTTGCTGTTTAGTTTGATTATTCACATTCTCTTCCGTTATGATTTACTTATTTGTTTTACTTTGATTTGATTCTTTAGAAGTTTTTTGTTACACGCGTTTGTTGCACTTTCAGCTAGAATGTTGTATGTTGCACACACAACAGAATATTGCCAACATCTTAAGACTTATGCGGAACTAATCAAATTGGGTAAAAGATGTGCCTACTTACCCCCTTGATCGTCAATCTCTAGCCCAAATTCGTCCTCCGACATGGACTCATCCTCGGAGCTTATATTGGATCCGCTGAGATTGCCCGTCTGATGTTGTTGTTGTTGTTGAAGATGTTGTTGCTGCTGTTGTTGCTGCTGCTGCTGTTGCTGTTGCTGCTGTTGTTGCTGCTGCTGTTGTTGTTGTGTTGTATTGCTGCTGCTATTGTTGCTGGTTTTGGCGGCAGCACAGGAACTAGCCGCCAGCTCCTCGATGCTGTGCATCGATCTTCGATTGGCAGTGCTTGTTGATGTTGCAGCTGTTCCTGTTGCAACTGTTGTTGCTGTTGCAGTTGCAGTTGTTGTGTCAGCCAATCCGTTGTTGGCAGCAACAACCGCATCCTTGTCGCTGCTCGTGGGCACCACCTCGAAGTCCAGCAGCTGGGCCGTTGTGGAGCTTAGAAAACCGGATGTACTCACCACCGCCGCCGTGGCGCCGGCGCCGGCTCCGTTCTCCAACGGCTTCAGCTGATGATACTCGACCGAGTTGGTCTTCTGCAGCAGCAGCGGATCGATGCTGTTGAGTGTCTCGACGCTGGCCGTGGTCTGGTTGCTGCGATTGTTGTTGAACAGTATATTGGCAAATGATGACATGGAGACGGATTCTAGTATAAGTGGCCCGTTGCCGCCGCCAGATGGCGCTGACGCTTTACCATCCACATTGTTGTTGTTGTTGTTGTTGTGATTGCTATTACTGTGCGGATTGGGACTGGCAAAGATGCGCTCACAGAGTCCGCTCAAGGAGACGGCGCCATCCAATTGGCTGTTGTCGATGGCCTGCAATGAGCTAAAGTTCTCAACGGGCGGATTCGAATTGGAATTGGGCAGCGCATCCTTTTGCAGCTGTGCATAGTTAATAAATGGCATCATTGGTGTGCTGCCCGCGGCAAGCATCTGATCCTTATGATGATGTGGCAACACTGGCTGCTGATGCTGCTGCTGCTGTTGTTGCTGTTGTTGCTGCTGCTGCAGGTGCTGGTGATGCTGATGATGATGATGATTGTTGCTATCGTTGTTGTTGCTGGCCGCATAGTTGGCAATGCTGCTGCTGCTGCTCTCGGCCAGCAAAGGTACATTAAAGGTATCCATGTTTAATACGTTGTGTAGTATTGTGATGTACTTTGACTTGTTATTTTCTTTGTTTACAGTTATTAGTGATGCTTCAATTGTTGTTGCAGTTTGGCAGGTAGCTTTAGTAGTTGCAATTACTTAGAAATTGTCTTCCAGCTGCAAAAAGGTCAAGCGAAAAACAACAAAGTTAGCAAAAAGTAAAACGCATTAACAGCAAAAAAATAAATGAAAAATGAAAAAAATATATGTGCCCGGTGGGAAAAAGCTCAACAGGATATGAAGCTAAATATAAACGCAGGCCAATGTTGTTCTATGAAAGTCAGTCAAGCAAAAGGGAATGTAGGTCAAGGTCAAGTTGTCATATACCCACAACTTCGAAAAGCTTTAAAGCACTAACAGAGTAAACATAGCTTTGAAAGCTCTAGTTATAAATTGGTGCATAAATATACATACATAGATGGTAGATTCGGAATATTGCAAAATATAGGATAATTACTCGGTTTTACTATAAGTCTACCTTTTCTGATTTAAGAATTCTTTTTTAGCTTAACATAGGTATACTCTACATAGTTACCTATCAATTACTCTTTTCGCACCTTTAATGCCTAACTACGGTAAAAGAGTCAAATTTGTGAAGGCAATTGGCTGCTTAGTTCCAGTTTAATTTACTCCAATTAGAATCTCAGCTTGCAGTCATGCCTTTTTCACCACTCGCTAAATCCAATCAGCATTAATCTTTACAAATTTGCTGTTGTTTCTTCCGCTTATTGGCAATTCCAATGGTTGGCAATTTCAACTGGAAGGCCCTCAAGTAACTTCCCCAGAACTTAATTAGCTACATTCAACCTAACCCTTGCCTCTCTCCCTTCGAAGTTGCAACCGAAAAAGCTCGGCGCAACTAGACAAAAGATCCGGGACAGTTGACAGGGGCGGACAGTGTAAGGGGCGTGCCAGAGCACAGAAAGATGAAGCAAAAACTTACCTTTCATGCTAAATAAAATAGCAACAGCAGCTGCTGCTGCTGCTGCTCTGACGTCGACAGCGACAGCGACGCTGTAGCGCATGCGCCGCTACACCGACAGCGATCACAACAAAGACGCGCTGCTACTCCGGCGGCTCTTGGGGCGCTCGATTTGGTGTGCTTTTTCTTTTTGTCGTTCTTAAAACCAGTTGGGACCGAAAGCAAAAGTGCTATTATTGCTGTTGTTGTTGTCCCGTTTCGCCTTCTCTATTTGTTTGTACACTTCACACGGTTATTCGCACAAAGAAGAAGAACTATCGTGATTCATGTTGCCCCTGCAGCCCTGTTCCCGCTACGATCAGCACTGATGCAGTTTCCGCCTGCGCCAGCAGCAGCTGCGAAGTCGTCGTCGAAAGCTTTTTCAGCATATTTTTTATTTTATTTTATTTTGCTTTTTTTCGCAGCACTCACGCACACAGTTGCGCGCTCACTCTTATTATTATTATTGCTGTTGTTGTTGGTGTTGTTGTTGCTGCTGCCGTCGCTAGTGTATGTTCTTATTATTTGCGCTGCGCCAATTCTCTTGCTATTTCTTTCTTTTTTTTTCGTTTTCGCTTTGCCTATTCGCTATTCGCTTTTAGTGTTGTCTTTCGCACATGGAATTTGTTTTTGCATGGCGGCAACGGTGGCGTCGGCGTCGGCGTTTGCTGCTTCCTTCTATGTATCAAAAACAGCAAATTTATTGCAATTATGCCGAGCCAGACGACGAAAACTTCTTGCACAACGACAACGAGACGACGAGAAAGACGAGCACGCGCAACAAGCGAAAAGCTCTTCCTACAAAAACAACAAATTGCAATTCCCTATTACACACGAACGAACACATGAGAACAACGCGCACTTATGTATATTCACTTATACACACACAATTACGACCATTTACTTGTTGTTGCTGTTGCTGTGGCTGGCTGGCAGGGGGCGCTCTACTAATTTTGTTGTTGTTTTAGCTGCTCTGCTCCAATTCTATGACAGAACAAAATATGTATGTACATATGTGCATACATATAGTACGTAAACGTGTGCATACATATTTCGGTATGTAATAATTTTACAAAACTTGCACTACCGTTATTGAAACTTGCTTTAGCTGTGGCTGCGACTGCTGCTGCTGCTGCTCACGCATATAAATACACATTTTCATCTTGCTTTTAAGTTTTTAGTGGCTTTTGTTGTTATTGCTGTTCTCGAAATCGTAATGCTCACACTCACACCGTTTGGATTTAAACTTCACTTTCCCTGCCGCCGACACACGCCACGCTATTTGAATATGGTTGCTTTTACTTTCTTTCTATTTGTTTATTCCGATTTTTTCGGGAAAACTATGCACAGCACACAACACACGCAAAAATTAGGTCTGTAGGCCAACACAAACGGGAACACAGTAAGAGTAGCAAAGTTGTTGGCGTAGGTAGAAGAAGAGGAAAGCACACACGCATACACACACACACTCGCAAGTACGCAAAACACACACACGCACACATAGAGAGATAGACAGATCGAGTGCGACGCGGGGCCAAGGACGTGTAAAAGGCAGGCAGCAGTAGCGACAGCGTCAAAAGTATTCTTGGCCTTTAAACGCGCATTTGAAGAACAAGGACGGCAATCATATGGCAAGCAGCGCCAGAAGCTTTGAGCTTAAAGCAATTTCGCACATCAAAGCAACTGTGTGTAGGCGCTGCATAGCTTTTTCCGCAAAACGCCAGCTATCGGGATAAATTTGAGTCGTTAATAAGCGCCATCTATGAGAGCTTTTCTTTAATGGTTTCAAGTTTTACGGAGGGTAGATTAGTTTTTCGCAAAATCGAAAGCAAAAAGATTAAATACTCTGTATACCCTGCATTTAGTGCAGTTATTATCTTTCGAAATCAGATATTTTTCTTATGGAAAAACATCTGCTTAAACGGATTTTTTTGTGCAAACTTCAAATACGTTGGGCGAATTCTATTTATAGAGTTAGATTCGTTTATATTAATGCAAAAATCATTTACTTGACTTGGAGAAAATACTTTGTAATAATAAGTTTAAAGGATTTGATTTACGATCTTCGAAACACGAAAATTTTAAATATTTTATTGATAAGAAAATAGTTTGCATTTCCGTTTATTTTTGTTATTACAAATTACGTTTCTGTTTTATAAATATAATCATTGAACATTGTTGCCGTTTCTCATTTACAATACAATACACTTACAATTATATACATATATATATATATCTATATATATATAGTTATATAAATTGCCAAAAAGTACTTTTAGCTATCTTTTAGTTGAATATAATCTTATTGTAGCTTCAATATTACATCAAAAAGTTACAAATCTATATGCAAAATTTATTTATGATAGATATAAATAACATATATTTGTAAGCATATGCACACTGGAGTGTTTTATCAATATGAATATATACATAAATATGTACATATACATATATGTATAAATTTATGTATATATTCATATATAGTTTTGTTTGTTATGTGTAATAATTTCATTTAAAAATACATAATACATAAATACACCTTTGTTGCTTTACTTAAGACTATTATTTTATATTTTCATTAATTAATAACTAAATTATTTTGTTTTGTTTTCTTTTTTTTGCTAGCTTGTTTCGTTAAAAACCATAGATTACATTACACAATTAGGCCTAGGTATATTAGATTTCGATTAGCTGATTTATCGGGTGCTCTCCTCCGACTGCCAAAACTTGGCATCGACCGATTTGCGTTGCTTATTTCTCGTTTCTTGTTTGTCCTTCATCTTTTTTATAATATTCTGTCCTTTTTTGAATGTGTGGGTATAGCACCTTTGTATCACTTTGCACTTAGTTCTAATTGTTTTTATAAAAGACTGTCTTCCAAAGACAAAGACGTAAAACTGACCACTAAAATTATCGGCTAAAATATATATATATATATATATAAATTCTATACTATTAGTATTATTTATATATATATACATGCACACACTCTAATAGTTAGTGCATTATCATGTATTATCTAATGCCTTAAAATTCACGACGTTTTCGTTCTAAAATTTCATTAAAATTGTTTTAACGCCCAACAAATTCTTGACGCTGTCGTTGTATCTGATGAGCACAACCTTCGAGGAGCTGAACATGTTCAGCTTCTCGCCGGCGCACAGCAGCTGCAGGCAGGTCGCCTGCTCCAGGAAGTCATCAATTTTGAACTCCCTCAGGAGCTGCTTCTGTGTGCTGGCCAGGGCCTGGCCATTCGGACAGATCTGTGTCAGAGATATAATCATATATATTAAATGGATTTGATTTGAATTTGAATTGATGGGCAGCTTACCTTGTTAAGCAGCGTATCCTTTGATTTAACCTTAAGTAAATTGCACAAATCATTTAAGAGTACCCATTTATCACTGCCCTCGTCTTTGAGCAAGTACAGTGGTGGCAAGGGCACATCCGCCTCTTCAAATTTAAAAATATCACCGTTCAATTCGTCCGCCAACGTCTCCTCGTCGTCGTCGTCGTCATCATCATTATCATTATCATTATCATTAATGTTATCAATGCGATCATTGTGTTGATTTAACTCGTTATGCTTCACATTCATATTCAAATTCTCGTCCTCATCTTGTGGTTCCCGTTTAACCTCATTCTTGCCATTCACAACATTCGTTACATTTTGCTCAACGTTAATATCATTGTTTTTGTTGTTATTTGTATCCTCAAAGCCCGCACCAGGCTCCATTTTCACCGTTGTCGTCGTTGTTTCCGATTTTGTTGCCGTTGCTATTGTTGTTATAAGATTTGTTGCAGTCTTTGCGCTTATCTCCCCATTTTGTTGAACTGTTTCCTTACTCTCCTCTCCGCCCTTCCGTGCTAGTCCGTTCATATTGTTGTTGTTGTTGTTGTTGTTGTGGTTGTTGTTGTTGTTGGTGCTGTGGGTTTTGGGCTTTGCTGGATGCTCGTTGTCGTCAGGTCCGCGTTCTTGCCTTCTCCTTCCTCTAGGTTGAGCTCTGCTCATATCACATGCTGTATTCGGTACATTATCGAATATATCAAAACCGTTTTCCTTCTTATCTGTAACCATAAAAGAACGATATTTAATTGATCTTTGCCGAGTGTATTGAAATAGTGTATTTACCAAATATCTGCCAGGGTCCCGGAAATCGCATTGGTTTTATGTCAGCGGCCGCACTTTGTGCATCGCTGAGGTGAGAGCTCAAGATGCCGCACATCAATTTGCTTGAAGCTAACATGAGTGGGGTTTGACCTGCAAAAAGAGAGCGTGTTGGATCAAATCGTTATTTCTTGAGCAAGTTAAGAGAGCGCAAGATTGGAAGAATGGGGTAGGGCTGGTAATACAGAAGGAAAGATTGCAAGCGAAGAGTTATACAATAACAGATAAGAGCTCCATCGCTTTAAAGAGTTAAAGAGTGGAAGAGAAAGGTAATACAGAAGGGAAAACTGGAAGCTAAGGGGTAATACAATAACATATAGGCAGATTGAGAAGGAAAGTTAATACAATAACAGATAAGAGTTCTGTAGCTTTATTGAAGAGAGACAGATTGGAAGGGAGGGGCAATTATATAATATATAAGAGCTCCATCGTTCAAGAGAGGAAGATTCGTAGGGTTGTAGAATAACATATAAGAGTTCTGTAGACAGAGAGACAAATAGGTAAAGAAAACAGATGATAACATATCGGAGAGAACATAAGGAAGTATTGGAAAGAACATAAGGACTCTAGTTATTAACTAAGAGCGCTTCTCTATCTAAAAAGATCACCGAGTTTTTAGTTAGTTATTGCCTTATTCTTACCTGAGTACGTTGCCAGCAACGGATCAGCGCCATAGGATAATAATAGACGTACCACCTCCTCGTGGTCATTCTCGATGGCGCCGTGCAGTGGTCGAATGCCCGATTGGGCGGCTTCCGAGTGATTGGCACCGAACTGCAACAGAATCCGGGCAATCTCCAGCCAACCCTGGGTGCAGGCCTCGTGCAGCGGCGTATAGCCGGCATTGTCCTTCAGATCCGGATTCATGCCCATGCGATCCAGACAATAGACAACCACATCGATGAGTCCCTGACGCGCCGCCTTGTGCATGGTGCTCTGGCCGACGCCCTTGTTGAGCACCCATTTCTGTATCTCCCGGTACACGTCCATTTCGGTTTTGATCTTGATCGGCAAATGGGAGGTGCTGCCCGCTATGGTGCTGTCCGTGTCATCGAGACGTTCATCAGCTGCTGCTGCTGCTGCCGCCGCCGACTCCGCCGCATCCATGGCCGCGCAGGAGACGCCCAGAAGGCTGGGCGTCGCTTGCTCCCCGGCTGAGGCATTGGGTGCACTTGTGATGGCGGTGCTCGTGCTGGTGTTGTTCTGGTGATGCGTGGGTCGCTTCTTCTTGCGTATATAGTCAAAGCCGGAGCTGCCCTTGCGCCGCAGATACTTGCGCTTGTGCGGACAGTGTGCGGCTGTTGTGGCGGGCGAATCTGTCTTCTTCTTGGACTCATCGTTGAGACTGTGCCTGGCCAGCTTGTTGTTGTCGGCGCTAACAATGCAATTCATTTGCTCCAGAAAGTCCTCGTACTGTTGGTAGCTCAACGTGGAGCCCTCGCCCTCGCCCTCGCCCGCCGCCTGTTGCTGTGCACACTCCGGCGGCGCCGAGGCCGGACGCTCCGTGCCCACAAAGATCTCCCGTATGATTTCGCGACGCTGCTGCAGCTTGGATTCCGTGCGCGTCTTGCTCTGCAGCACCTTCGTATCGAAGATGCTAAAGTGCCGCTTGCCCGTGCTGTCCTCCAGACTGGGCTCCGTCGTCTCCTGCACCTGCTCGTACAGCGAATTCGAGGCGGAGGTCTGCGAGGTTTCGCTATAGTTTTGCAGGCTCGTGGCGCAGTTCGACAGCTGCGATGCGCCGTTCTTGCTGCCCTGCTGGCTGCCATTGCTGGTGACCCGGAGATGCAGCACATCGATGATGGATTTGGGCGTGGACTTCTGCTGCTGCTGCGATTGCTGTTGCTGCATCTTGGAGCGCGGCTTGCGGCCTCGGGTGGACTTGAAGCAGGCCATATCCTGCGTGAGATGACGACCTCGCTCCAGATCCGGCAACGAGGCGGCCACGTGCGGCAGCTTGTTCAGCTTGTTGATAGAGATCAAGCGTTGGGGTATTTTCAGCGCCAGCTTATAGCGGTATTCCTCCAGAAATAGCTGCTGCTGCGGCGAGGGATTCGCTTTGCTGCTGTTGCTGTTGTTGGTCGTTCCAGACTTGGGATTGCCCTTCAACTTGCCGCCATTCAGCTGGGCCAGATCGACGACCGAGTCACGCTTGTTGCGCAGACGCGTGATCATCATTTCCTTCTTGGCATCGGGCACCAGTTTGCGCACATATTTGCGCTTGATCTTTGTCGTTGAGTTCCGTATGATTTTCTCGTTGCGCAGAACCTTGCTGTTGGCCAGCTGCAGCTCCAGTTCTTTTTTCCGCTTGGATCTGGTCATGGTGTTTGGTGCTATGCGAGTTTTTAATGAGGTTTTTGGCTTGCGCTTAGCTTGATTCCCTTCCTTAGCCTCCGCCATATCGGTGTCCTCTTCGTCTTCCTCTTCTTCGTCATCCTCTTCGTCCTCTTCATCGTCTTGCTCTTCCTGCTGCTGTTCTTGCTCCTCATCGCTATTGCTGGCTTTGCTCGAGCTGCTCTTCTCATCCTGCTCCAGCTCCTGTTCCTGCTCCTGCTCCTTCTCGCGCTGCTTTTCGCCCATCTTCTTTTTGCACTTTCCACTTGTATATTGCACTTTGTTTTCCTTAGCTGTGGCTATCCTCGTCTTCTTGGCCAGGTTCTTTATGCAGTTCTTTGCCTCGCTGGAGCTGTTGGCTCCGTCCTGGTCCTGCTCCTCATCGCTGCTCTGCTGCTCCCGCTGCTGGAGTTGCTTCTCCTGCTCGTCCGAGCGACGCGGCTTGCCCTTGCGCATCAGAGGCTTCTTTTGCCTGGCCGTCTTGCGCCTGTGCAGCTCGGTGGTGTCGCTCTCGGAGCTGCTGCTCTGGCCCGCCGTCGGGGCCAGCCGTGCCGCTATGCGCTGCTCCTGCATCAGTCGCTTCTTCTCGCGGTCCGACTTGCTCAGCTTCTTTTGGGCTCCGCCGAACACGTTGCCATTCGTGGTGGTCGTGTTGGTCACCTGTGTGGTTGTTGTTGCCGCCGACTCGACGTCCGCCGGCAACGGCTGACGCTTCAGTATGCGCGCCACGGGCAGATCATCCTCGCTCAGCTCCAGCTTGATGCGGCTGGTGGGCAGAAAGGCAGATGAAACGCTTTCGTTGGCTGACGTAGCTGATTGGACGGAGTTTGTCTTGACGGGCATCACTGTGGTCAGCAGCTGCTCGACGAGATTGTTGCAGGTGCTGCCCCAGTCCAAGAGGCTATTGCTGTTGAAGCTCGTCGGGCTGGCATCCTCCAGCTCGAGCTCCGGCGTGGGCGTTGGCTCCAATTTGATTTGTATGTGATTTGTCTGCTGACTGGGATGTGGCGCAGATGGTAGAGCAGCTGCCGGAGCTACTGCTGTGGATTCAGCAGCTGCGGTTGGTGCAACGGGAGTTGCTGTTGTTGTTGTCGTTGAACTAGCCAGAGCCAGCACGGGCGGGGTGAAGGTGAATCCCTTCAGCTCCGCCTTGGTGCGTATGCGTGGCTCTGTCTTCGGCACCAGCATCGGCTCCTGTTTGGGCTGTGGACAGACAATGATGCGACTACCCGACGTCGTGGCCGTCTGCTCCAAGCGCTTGGCGACCGCGGCCTGCTCATTGATGGCTATGACCGGCACAGAAGCGGCCATGCCAGTTGCCACCTGAGGCGTCGTTTCCAGCCGGGTTTGCTTGGCTGCCGCTGCTGTTGCCGCAGCTGCTGCTGCCGCCGCCGCAGCCGTCGCCTGATTGTACTCTTGCAGATGCCGCTTGCGTCCCAGATAGTTGGGGTTGCTGCTGTTGTGGCCACTCGCTGTGACCGCCAGGGCGGCCGTGCCCGTGCCTGTTCCTGCTCCCGGTTCGGTTGTGCTGGGCGTGGGCAATGCTTTGGGCAACGGCCTGATACTCGTCTCGGGCGGCAGTTGCGGTCGCTTGGCAAACGGATTCGTTTCCAGTACGCTGGGACGCAACTGCTGCGCCGCCTTGATCAGCATGGGCGTGGCCTCAGGTGAGGCAGCAGCCGTACTCGCCGGTGCCTGGCGTATCACAGCCGTCGCCGCTGCCGGCGTGCCGGGTGCAGTTCGGTTGCTGCGCGCAAAGTTTGGCGTTATATCAATGCGAGGCAGACCCAGACCTGTGCCGGGCAGGGGCGTGGCCGTGGACTCCGTCAGCGTGCGCTGATATTTGTAGTCTGTGGAGTCGGCGGTTTGTTTGATTGTGCGCATGGACAGGTCCAGCGGTGAATGGGCGGCAGGCGGGGTGGGCAACGGCAAAGGCAGGGGCTGCGGCTGAGCCTGTGGCAGTGGCAGCGGCACCTGCTGTATAACGGGCGCTGGCAAAGGAGGAACTGTAATTGTGACTGGCGACTGGCGACGACTTCCGGCCGTCTCCATTTTGAGCGTCTTCTTGATAATCTGCAGATTGAGCTCCTCCTCGCTGGTCGTATTGCGCTTGAGCATGTCGTTGATCAGCGCCCGATAGTTGGGCTTCACAGTGGCAGCGCTTTTCTTGGCAGCCGAGGGCAGAGCTGATTTGGCAGCCGCCGGCGGCTGACAGCAGATGTCCGGCCCGTGCGGATACACCTGCAGCGTGGAGTAATTCGAGGCGGTTGCTGTGCCGCTCGTGGCCGGCGGCGGCGGCGGCGTATGATTGTACAGCTGCTGGGCCGGCGTGGGCGAGGCCACCTGGGCAGCGGCTGGGGACGGCGTGCCGTGATGATAGTACGAGGCATAGCTGGGCGCGGAGCTAAAGGAACTGCGTCTTTGTATGTCAGCGGCCAATGGAAGCGGCGGCGCGGGCGGCGTTCCATGCTGCTGCGGCAAGAGTTTGCCATACTTGGTGGGATAGGCGTGCGCCAAGGCAGGCGACGGATCACGTGAACTGACCGCAGCCGATGACTGCTCCTGTTCCAGACGCGAGGGCGGCGCAGCCGCAGCCGGATTGTAAGGATTATGATAGAGCGATGCACGCGTCAGAGCCGGAGGCTCTGCCTCCAATTTGGCGCTTGCCACGCTGCTGCTGCTGTTGCTGCCGTTGCCACCTGTTGCACCGTAGTAATTGACTGTGGGCCGTGAGAAGTTGGCGCCAGTGCGTCTATAATCCAAATTGGGCGCCGGCGCCGTCTCTCGCACATATTTTTCAATCGCATTATGCACGGTATTTTGAAAATTTGGTGGCATGTACAGACTCTGATGCTGCTGCTGCTGTTGTTGTTGTTGAGGAGGCTGTGCTGGCTGCGGCGGCGTCAGATGATGATTGATGGCGCTGCGCTGCTCGGTTGGCGGCTCGTAATGCTGCGGACACTTGCGCGCATAGTTGGGACTAGGCTGCTGATCGCCGGTGCCCAGCAACGCGTTGCTGGGATTCACCACATGATCCATTGGCTCGTAGCGAGCGCCTGCCTCGGGCGCATAGCTGACCAGCTTGGCGCCCGACACTGTCGCCGAGTACTTGCTGTTGTCCTCGTAGTAGCGCTGGCTTCCGCTCCCATTCCCGTTCCCGCTGCTGCTGATTGCACTCGGACAGGTTGTGGCATGCGATTTGCCGTAGCTCAAACGCGGTTGCTGTTGCGGATGCACCAAATGCGACTGCGACTGCTGCTGCTGCTTCTCATCCTGCGGCGGCCAGTAGGGCGCGTTGTACAGAGCGCTGCTGTGGTGCCGCGGCACGGGCACGGGCGCGGCGCCTGTTGGCTGGTTGGAGGCGACATGCACCGCCGTCTTGTACTGCCAGCAGGGATGAGGTGTCGCCTCGACGGACCTCTTGCCGACGCTCAATTCGCGATTGGAGGTGTAGTATTGCAGATGAGGATCGCCACCAGATGTTGCAGAGGCAGCAGCACCTGTTGGCGGCATAACAGATGCTGCTGCTCCACCAGCAGCACCGCCATTGCCAGCAGCTCCACGTCCACTCATCGCATAAATCCCGGCGGCACGGGAGCGTTCCGCATCCGCTGGCTGTGCGCTGTGGTAATTGATTGACTGTTGGCTGCTGAAGTTCGAGCTGTTGCCGCTCGGTTGGTAATGCGGATGAGGTGGCAGGTGTTGTTGTTGTTGCTGCTGCTGCTGCTGCTGCTGTTGTTGTTGTGGTGCTGCTGCAGGTGGTGTCTGTTGCTGTTGTTGTTGTTGTTGTTGTTGGTGGTGTATGTGGTTATGCACTGCATGTTGTGGATACGCATGCACATGCTGATGCTGCAGGTGTTGCAGTGGGTGGGGAGATTGATGATGATGCGTTTGATATTCGTTATGCCTGTTTGGGTCCATTGTAACTGAAATGACAAACATAAAACATATTTAAGTACAAATCGTATCAGGATAAAAGTAAATGAGTACAGCTAACGAGCAGATACAGATGCGCCCTATTTGCATTTAAAATTTATGTATATATATGTATATATATATATAGAGTCCGAGAATGCATTAAACGTTTTACCATAAAATTATAACACCTTTTGCAAGGTTACTAAATGAAATTTGCATCACCAGCTCAACCAACGTTTTCTTAAAGAATATGCCAGAAACTTATTCAAAATAATAAAAAAAAATAAATGTAAGTTTCCGGTTTTGCTCGAATTTAAATCTCTGATTAATTTTAGCTTTACATCAACAGTTTCACGTACTGTTTGGGTTATTGAACAACTTATTTTTTCTTCAGAAGTCCACATACAATAATATGGAGAACTACCCCTATGAAACGAAATTCTTTTGAAACCAGCAGGAAATAAAAATTGATGTATTTGAACAAATGGACGTTCTTTTCAACTTGTTTAGCTGCTTATGTTGATTATATTATTATTTTATTAAGGTTAAAATGGTTGATATATAAAAATACATCCAAGGCGCCTTGAAAAACAGATTATATATAAAGAAATATTAAATAATGATAGTATTAAGCTGTGTTGTTCCACATAAAATCATTAAAATCGCATTAGTTTAAGAAGCCCAATTAAGGTAACCAAAACAAAATTAAGAAAATTAGAATTTAAGCGAGCTAAGATAAGGGTATAATAAGTTGCGATAAAATCTACTCAAAGTCCATGCAACATGATGCCCCATTTAGGTGCTAATACTTGGCTCATATTTAAAGCTGTCATTAACTAGTTAATGGGCAGGTGAAAAATATAAATGAAAACAATCACAACTAACAACAACAAAACTCACGTGTTACTGATAAGACTAGATATGAAAAGTAAACAAAACTTGAAATGGAAATATAAGCACACACACACACACAATCCGATACACTTACTGCAAAAAATATTGTGCCAAGAACGCGTTTTACAATGCAACCAAAAACAACTAAGAGTGCTTAGAGATTCAATGTTAAATTTGAGCACTTAACATTGTGTTAACATTTTATTTACATTTGGGGTATTTACAGATTCCTATGCAAAGCTGCTAAAGTAAACACTCAGCGTAAATGGTATTTTGAAAGTATGTGAGAGCAGCTTAGTACATTCTTCTTCTTCTTATTGGTTTTGCTTGCATATCGAACGTCGAAAAGATTAAAAATGCCTAAAAATTATCAAAATATGTGCTTAGTGCTGGAAGTCACGAAAGTAATGTACAGTTAATATTTTATAGAAAACGTATGCATTAGTTAATGTTGCATCTCTGTGGAACAAAACGCATTTCAACATTTGTATACATATGTATTTACAACTATGTAACTCAATCAAGTCTCTTATTGCAACCGCAAACTAGCTTCAAGACAAGAATATAAATTGCGAATGCCCATTTTTATGATGCGCAGCTAGTATTTTGTAGAAATTTCAATTGCTTGCACTGTAAACAAACAAATAATTGATAATCAAACGAAAAACAATTACATTTAATACGAAGAAAAGCAACTTCGTTGGCCTCAAAAGCCAAAAGCGCAGCGCAGTCAGCGAAAAGAGACTGCGGCAGAGTTGTGGGATGTCGATTGTAGAGGTCAAGGCCTAATATACACATAAATACATGCATACGTACAATACAAACATGCGACGACTCTGTATGTATATGTGTGTGTGTGTGTGCTGCCATTGCCGCTAGCAAAAGTGTAAATAAATTGTGACGCATTTTTTTTTGTTATTGCAAGTAATATAAATAAGTATATGCATGCACATGTGTGTGTGTGTGTGTATGCATGCTTGAATATTTGTGCATACATGTGCACAATGTGTGAACGATGTTGCGTCGTCGCGACGTACGAACGAAACAAAACGGAATGAAATGAAACGGAACGGAACAATGCCGCGCACAAGACCAAGCGACGTAAGAGCACAACGAACTTTTGCGAAATGTGAAATTGTAAAATTAAAAAAAAAACCAGAGCAAAAACAATAAATGTGAAAATAAAACGCAAAGCAACAACAACATTAGTCAAATTAAAATGCTAAATAAATGAATAAAGAGTATACAACTTAATAAGCGGCATTCACTAAAACCTCATTTTATATTATAGTATAATTTATATTATAATATTATCATCAAATGTGAAATGTATAGGAGAAGTCGACAACTTGTTAAGGAATATGTATTCTTGATCAGTATGAACAGCTAACCGATATGGGCATTTCCCTTTGTCGAAGGTATCAGTAATGGGAAGAATTGGTGGAATATTCTACTATAACTACTCTACGAATCGAAAAAGAATAAGAAACTTTGATTTCGCATAATATATTTACCTTTGTGACTTATAGTCCAATGATTTTGGAACACCTATTGAAAATATTGCCCACATTCAGCATCTGTAAATAAATATTTACTTGATTAATTAGGGGAAAACACAACACTTTAGTTGGAAAATCGATCGTTTGCGAAACACAATTTTATTAGTTATAGTCAAAACCCATCCATTAATATATATGTATATTTATATATATCAATATTGTAATAGGTTTAATATTCTGTTTACAGGCTTTATCAATTTGTGACCTGTTGAGTGTATAAAATTTACGAGCAAAGGGTTTGGTTATGTGAGAAATAAGTTTGAATAATTAGTGGAGCATATAGTAGACATATTTAAGTAGTATGCGGGTATTTGTAACCTTGAATAACTATATTTGGAAATTATAAAGTCGCGTAAAAGTGCTTCACTAGTAAATATCCAATACTCTTGTCTATAATTCGCTATACACATTCATACAACTACCTTTATAAAGCTTTCCGTATAATTATCTTAGATCCTTGGGCAGTCTCGGCTAAAGGATATTGTTTATCGGATAAAGATTATTTCAATTTTCAATTGTTGTGGCACAAATTGGATTTATTTGTGATTCTTACAATATGACAGACATCAACAACATCGAATACTTAGAAATGACTATGGACAAAGGTATTTTAGCATCTTAATTCGCAAGTTAAGTCTTTCATATTAACAGTATTTTTAGTTGTTAGTTGTTCTATTCTCTTTATCATGACTGCTTCGAATTCCACACGTTTCCAAAAACTTAAACCGAAACGATTCCGCTTTAACATTTTGGAATTCGACATTGAAAAACAAAAGAATCAATTGTTCAATATTATCAAAACAAATATTTGTGGTCAAAAAACAAATTTGAATTTATGCAGAAATCAAAAAGTTATATTTGCTCGTATTTTTCTTATAATATTTGATAAATAAAGTGAAATACATCTTGAAGATTCAAAAATGTGGGAAATGTCAAATATTACAAACGTTGTAAAGTATAAGTTAGCATTAACATTTAATTTATTCGACTGGAAGCGGAATATATTGAATTCGAAACATCTATCGCAGTTTTAGAATGGAATCGAAATTGGGCAGAGGATATTTTAAATGATTCATTATATTTGCTAAGATTTGGCAAGTCCACATTTTCTAGCAAAACTGGCAAAGTCGACTTTATTCTTGATTGAAGCAGAATTTGAATACCTCAAATACCTAGAGAACAAAGCAATAGTGAAAATTGTTCTAAGATTTAGTATACAAATAAACAAAATTGAATTTCTTGCTGCAGTCTGTTCAACTTGCATCGTAACTATTACATAATCTCTTCCAACTAAAGCCATTTTGAGGCCAAGCAGGCTAGATTTGTACTTAAATTTGCGTTGGTCAGTAAATTGATAAGCTACTAATTGCCCTTCAAATTGATAATGGGCAATGTATTTACCAAATGCATTTGTATAAACATGTGTAAAAAAGTTCTTTATTATTCTAAGATAAACATTTTTAAAAGCAACACAAATAACAATAACAACAACACAACACCAAAAGCACAAAGACCGAACTTTTGTAACGCCAACAAAGCCAAATTAAGCTAAGCAACGACAACGACGACGACGGCGGCGTCGAAGTGGACGTCGAAGATGACGCTAACGATCAGCGACGGAGCAGTTGCCACTGCTTTTGTTTTTGTTTCTGTTTTCGTTATTGTCGTTTATTCGCCTTTGGGGGCCAACGGCACATGAACGGAACACAACGAAACGTTAGCGCAGTCAACGTTGATTTCACGGCAGTAGCTGTAGAATTTATGTCGTCGCTGCGGCGCGCAAATGTTGTAATACGCTCGCGGCAGACGATGAGACAGACGTACAGAACTTGCTGGCTCTTTTTCTTCTTCTCTTTCGTTCTCCCTCGATCTCTCTGTCCCTTTCACTCACGCGCGCTCTATCATTCTTAATCAACCGTTCTGTAAAGCATTACATATGTTATTTGTGACAGGCTGTTAAACAGCACGTTGTCAAAATATTGATTGTTACATCATATCGTATCACAAAATGCCATAAATAATTACGGTAACACTTATTAGAAATATCCAACATATTTATTGGGTATTGCAAAACTGATCAGATTTACTGGAACGCTTAAGAGTAAGTACTTCGCAATTAGGGCCAACCAACTTTGCAATGTTCGGTTAACGTATGTTAACTGCTAAAAACAGGGGGAAATATTTTTAATTACTGTCCAAACTGTCACGTTACTAAATATAAACTTGATGATTTGTGTTTGACGACGGGGCTAGAATTTGTACTAACTGATTTTCAAAGATCATCAGTTGTCTACCTATCCACGGTTCCTGCCAACAAAAACTGTAGAGGGTTAGAAGGACATGGTGGGTCTTCAAAAATATCAAGGTTAACTAGAACATATACAAGTCGTTGTTTATTATTAAGATAAAGATAAAGTGAAGAGCTAAGACATTAACTGCAGTGGTTTAGAAAAAAAAGGAATTGAAATAAAATAGCTTAGATAGATGTCAGATAGCTTAGATTTATGTATGTCCTCAATTCTGAGAAGTTTCAGGTGGAAAATCAAGCAAGCGAAGTTTATGGATGAGCGGCAAACTAAAGAAAATTGGTTGAAACAGAACAATCTTAAATAATCCATTCTGGGAATAAAATAAAAGTTGTTTTTTCTAAAAAAGCTATTGAAATGCTATGACTACATTTTCTGCGTTGGAATAAATTAAGATATCTTCCAGAGCTAAGTGAAATGAAGAAGCTTAAAGGAGTGGCAAACAAATATTCAAAGAGGAGAACAAACAGGCAATTAAATTTAAAATCAAGTAAAGAATCGCTACATTCCGCTTGAATAGAGGATTGTTTTAATGTTAGGCTAATAAGGATGGGATGTTGTAAAATGTGTCGACGGGATCAAAGGAAAATAAGCTGATACGCGGAACTTTGTTAATAACATAACACTAAAGATTTTATACCCTGAACACAGAGAGAAAACATATGATTGCATTTGAGCCATATCCGACTTGCTGTGCGTCTGACCGCAATTTTATGGTCACCGATACAACGAACACGGAATATATACTCAATTATTTCCCCGACAGATAATGTAGCTTAGAGACAAGGCTAACAAGATGTCGGCAAACCGCGATGATATATCCCATTACGCACAGTTTTGAAGCTAGATTCTCTTGTATCTAGACTACAGATGACTTTCGCTAAGAATCGGGCCAAAACTAGCCCCAACCCCACAAATTGTAAAGTTCGATATTTGCTTTTGTTAGCTTAAAAGCTTCGCTTATGTTCTTTATAATTAATAATTATTGCAACAAAAGGAAAAAAGTAAAATACTTTAAATTAAGAAGCTGACACTTACAACAGCCTTTGATTGTATTCATTAAGTCAACAAATTAAATAATTACTCAAATTAACATTAGCAACCCTTTAGGTAATCAACATTCAACGAGAACTCAACTCTTTTTATTTATCTAGGCAGGTGAGAAACTTGAAATTAACTTAAATGAATCTGTTCAAAAGTCTGAAATGTATGTTGAGGGGTCATTGCCATTTCTGTGAAACATGCCAGCTGAAACCTGAGCTCTAGTTCCGCAACTTTGGCTTACCCTCCCCTCCCCCCTCCCTGCCCCATCCCTCCCCCCGTAGCAATCATTAACAGGTAATACGAATAGACTTAAAAGAGCTAAACGTGATAAAAATAAAACATTTTTGATGACAAACGTAATTTGTTTTAAAAGTATTTTCATTTTGGTAAAATGATCGGCAAACAATCAAAAGCATGATTCATTGGAATTATTCATAAATTTATGAACTTTTAATTTGTGATTTTATTATTACGAATTTCCTTTTGTTGGCCAGTCAGCAAATTAGTTAAGACTTGGATAGTTAACATGCACAAGAAGATATTTATAGTTTAGTAATAATATAATAAATCATGATTGAACTTTGAAAATTTTCTCTGGTTAGATTTTGTGACCTGGTTCCGCCTCTTTAGAAAACGCCCTGTGATATATTTATGTAAACACTTTTCGAAAACTAAATAGCTAAAATTTGGACTAAAGATTTTCGAAAGTTCAAGCCCTTTACCAGCAGATATATATATATATACTATATACTAAGCGCATACTGTCAAGAAACTTAACCTGCATATTGTGTGTATCTATATGTGTAAATAAATAAATAAATATATACATATATATTTAAACGGCAAAGTTTGTTGCCAACTCACGATATAGGCAAACAGTTCTTTAGTTCTATTGTGTTTCGAAACAAACCGGTTGCTGGAACGCTGCTTTAAGCTTTAACAAGGCAAAAACTGAGCCACAGAAACCGTTTAAGCGCGCACTAAAGAATACCTAATTAAGGGGCTTAGAGCTGGGACCGTGTCTTCGTGTCTTTCGCTCGTGACACGAAGATGCAGCGAGGAGCAAAGCAATGCAGTCTATTAAACTCTGTGGAAAGCTTAATACAGATAGAGATACAAATACAGATTAAGATACAGGGACAGATGCATATACCTTGTTGAAAGCAAAATACAGATAGAGATACAAATACAGATTAAGATACAGGGACAGACACAGATACAAAGCTCGTATTAGATAAACATTTAAAGCTGAACTTACAAAGTAATAAGCCAGCGTTTTTGACCCCATTTTAAGCCATTGTTTAATTTCCTTCTTCTTTCATAATCTAACTTACACTGACCGGCTAAAATTTAAGTAAAAAACATATATAAACATATAAAAATAGCCTTCACATTCGCTTAAATAAATGTGAAAGGATGGAAATGGAGAAAAATACTAAGTTTATAGCCTAATTCCATTATCAACATTTCTTACATTTTTTGCGAATGTAAAGTATGTTGCCTGTACGTTTTCCCATAAGAAGCCACATTTGTCCAAAATTTAACATTTGGTATTCGAACCGAGTAATTCGTGTTTTTTGCGATGATTTATGGAATTTTGTCATTCATATGTTACCGACAACTGACACTTGCTAACGGAATCGCAGAATGTGAAGTTTGTAAATGTAACAAATGTTGAGCACAGTGGAATCAGGCTATAACATATAAAGCTAACTTCAAAATGACTTGCGTTTCGTGTTTTCAGCGTGTTCTGTTGAGACACGGACTCATCTCTAATGTGCATATAGATAAAGACAGCAGAAGCGAAAGAGAGAGAGGCGAACATACATAACTTGAGCCTAAATAATTATCAGCCCCAACGAATCGCGCACAGCTGTACAGTAAAATTCTAAACAATTATCAGTTTTGAGTTTTCAGCTCTCACTTTTGTGGACGACAAACAAACAACAAAACCAACACACAGACAGCGACAGGCACACAAACACAAATACACACACACACACACACACACACATACACATACACTTGCACACACGGAGATTATAAAATCGCTGGGCAAACATTGTCAGCACTTCTTCTTCTATTTTTGTACTCTTGAAGAAGGGGCATTATAACTGTAACACAAATTATGTTATGGATTGAAGGCGACATATTCTACGAGAGAAAAGATGTTCTGTATATGAAATATATACATATGTGTGAAATATATATGTATGAAATGTATGAATATCGTTTTTAAGACATTTTTTGAACCACTAAGCTCTCATAGGAAGGAATATTGTCAAACGTTTAAGAAATATCATGATAAAAAAAGGAATACTACTTTTACTCTCACAGATTCGACAAGAAATGAACTCAATGGACAGAAATCAGTCGGAAATACAGGAATTGTTTGGAGTATGCTTTTCTGTGGTCCTCAAGAGTATTTAAACTTTAGCACCTCGAAGTTACGTGCATTTTGTCTAATGCAAATTTGAGAATCTTCCAATTTAATGATAAGGTTAGGGTATCTTTTGCTTGAGCTATGAGTTTTTCCATTAAAATTGCTGACTGATTTCTAATTAAAATTTGAGTTGGAAAAAACTAAGGAACAGCCAAAATGCATTCAGGTTGCGAGCAAGCCGAAGATAAATCAAAAAAAACTGTTCTATTGTATAATATATTTTAACAAAATAAGATAACTAACAAGATAACTCTATATATCTTACACCACAGCTCGCGTAAGGCACAATCGATTTTATAGATAGAGATAGATAATCAGACAATAGATATTCCTGTAAATTTGTCCTTCACACTTGGTACAATTAGTTCAAAGTTTGGCTTTATGAACAAGACGTTATTTGCCTATCGTTTGCTTCTTCTTGGGAGCTTCTTATCTCTAGGTTTGTGTCTAAACTTATCTTGTTAAATGTTCTGCTATAGATTCTAACTTTCTATTTTCCTATTGTCTATCTGGGTTAAGACATTAAGATTGAGTATTAGAATTGATTGGAAGAGCTAGTTATTATGGATCATTTGCTCCGATTAGCGCAATTGCGACATCAAATTAATTCTTCATTCCTCTCAACTTATTGTTGAAGGAAATAATGAGGGATACGAACACGATCAGAAAAGGATATTTTTACATAATATGTAAAATGTGTGTAGATTTAAGAAAATAACCACCTATTTTAAACGGGTTCAATATTTTCCCAGTATGTCAATTAGCTCATATAAGGTAACACATACTTCACTTGTGAAAGTACAGAAAAAGGGGGAACAGAAACTGTTTTCAGGGTAGGGTACTTTAAGTTTAAGCCATAATTTGGTAACCAAGCAAATTGAAGCCAATTGAAGCAGAAAATGTTATACATATACATATAGATATAGATATACAAATACATATGTAGATTGTAACAAGGTTAAAACATCACGTTTCTCTGTACGAGCAAAGGAAAGGTTTATCGAAAAATAGATCAGCAGGTGTCAACAGTGCCAAATACATATATTAAAACCCAAACATAAAGTAAGCTGCGGCATTAACCCCTCCCTTTTTGCTGTCATTCTCTTGCTATTAGCCAAAGAGCTTTAATTAAAGCGCGCGTCCATTAAATTTGCACAAAAAACAATTTGTCTGTTGTTTGCACAGTTTGAGGTGAGACGTGTTCGAAATTTATTAAAAGAAAAAAAAAAAAAAAACAAAACCAATTAAATTAAAGGCACACACTGAAAAACCAACAACTCACCTCCAATAATTTAAATTAAAACGCAGCGCGCGCTTGTTGGAGCCCTTGAAAATATGCTCAATTGTAAAGCTGAGTGGCAGAGCCGGGCGCTGCCTTTGTTCCCTGCAGCCACCCCTTTGGTGGTGGTGCTGCTGCCGCTGCTGCTGTTGCTTGAGCGTGTGTGCGTGTGACGTTGACACCCACGCGTGTTGCTTTTGTTGCGCTCTCTGAAGCTTTTTTGAAAAGACTTTTACTGTTATTTCACGTTTCGTTCACGTTTTGTGTAATTGTTTGGTACCGTTAACGGGGATGTTGTTGTTGTTGTTTTAATTCCTTTTAGCATTGCTTTTCACTTTGTTGTTTTACTATTTTCTCACACACAGTTTGAAGACACCACGCATACACGTGCAAGTACACACACACACACGCTGGTAATACACGTAAAAATTTCTCGCACAGCAACTTTTTAGTTGTTGCTGCTCTTTTTGTTGTTGTTGTTGTTTCTTTCAACATTAAAATATACATGCACATACATATGTGTGTGTATATGTGTATATAAAAACCAGTATTTGCCTTCTTTCACTTATTTCAAGAAATTGTTGAATAACGGTTTTGAATTGGTATTGCGTGTTGTTGTTGTTGTTGTTTTAATAAATTTCACTTTGCTTTCTCGTGCTGCTATGTTAGTCGTTGTTGTTGTTGTTTTTGTTATTGTTGCACACATAGTTGTTACACACACACAAGCACGCACTTTGCAAAATACAGGGTGAATGCATATATGCGGCTCAGTATCTTTTTGTGAAATTTTTGCCCTGATAAACCTGTCCTGCAGAGCCGACGTCGCTGCGCGTCGTCAGCGGTTGCCTCTTCGTGTACATTTGCTTCACTTATGCACCGCTATTAAGAATAATAAAATGAAAGAGAGAGAGGGAGAGATACACCTAAGTATTATAAAAATATGTTTATTTTGCACTAAATTTCAATTTGCATTTTGTATGCATTTATCAGGCAATCAGCAAGCGAGCAACACATCATCTTCACATCAGCTGCAGGCGTTTATATAGTATAATTAACGACGGCGCAAATATTCCAAAAAAAAAGTATGTTGATTTTATGGTTGTTGTTGTTTTAGGCAACGTTCATTGCCACTCACACACGCGCACTGATACACATACATACAGGCAACGAGACAGCAAACACACAGACACTGTGTTAATGCGTCTCCCCCTCAGCCCGTTATGTAGCGATGTCGTCGTCGACGTTGACGTTGACGTTGACGTTGACTTCGCCGTGTAGGGGGGCAACGATGTTTCGTTTGAAGGGAACTTCACTTCTATACTTTAGGCGCCCCCGCAGACGCTTCTTGCAAACGAAACAAAGACAATTTCACTTGTCTCGCAAAATGTGCGCAGCGACACAACATTTCATAGATACATATATACAAATATAAAGATACAGATAGATATATATAACAGACACACACACACAGAAGCATGCATACGATGTGCGTTTGAATGTCAAAATTCAAATTTTTTTAAGACTTTTGATTTAAATCATTTACACGCACACACACGTACACAAATAGGCTGACACAATTACAAAATTGTCGGTCGCTGAGTTTTCTACTTTTTTGATACTTCTTTTTTGTATTTTACACGCACACACACTCACATTTTTATTATAATACACTTCACACACACAGAAACACACACACTACGGTTTGTTGTTGTTGTTGTTGTTGCTGCTGCTGCTGTTGCTTGCTTTGCTGTTTTTTTGTTGTTGTTGGCCTACTTTGTGTGTGGGGAATTTTGTTGTAGTTGTGTTGTTGCTCAGCTTCTCCTTTTGCAGCAAAGAAACGTAGAGGCGAGACAGACTGAGACTGCCTCTGCTGACTGCTACGTCGTTGTTGAAAATTTTCACACGCGCCGTTTTTTTATGTGTCTTTTTACGTAAAAAGCTACTTTTACGAAAGTGCCATTGAATTTGGATTGCACTTGCATTTAAATTGGATGCTTAATATTTATGTAAATGTGTTGCACTAAATTATTGGTATATATATAATCGCTCTTGCTATATATACTATGTATATATTTGAGATTGTTATAAAAAGAAATCACTACTACTTCAAAAATCGAGAGAGACGAAGGCAAACGAACGTATGAAGAATGAATGACTGAGAAAGTGACTACAAAAATACGGAGGCCTGCCAACCGTCGAATTAAACGCGAGCTGCCAACGCAAGCAAATACAGCGAACTAAAGAGACCATCACCAAAATATCGCACGACTAACAGACGATATTGGTTGTATATCGTCAGACCGCCACAAATAATAACATTAATTGAGGTATGCGCAAAATATTAACATTCTGTTACCAACAGTTGGTCTATTTTGGCATTTATTCTGTTTTAGCATGACCTGTTTAACAACGATTTTTGTTAAGGCAAACAACAAATAAAATATAAAGCTTCGATTGAATTACAAATATTATCAGCAATGAATGTTTTTAGACTTTTGCATGCTCTACGAGTTTACATACTCATAATTTGGGATTTTCGGGCTTACGACGTGCGGCCACACAGAACACTGTAAATGTCAGACCGCCTATAAAAGCAATGAGCGCTGCGTTCTACGTGTTTTAGTTAACAAAATTAGCCGCAAATCAGCGACAACGCGTAAAACTTTTCAGTGTACAGCATTCTCAAAATTTCTGGTTATAGAAAGAAATAAAATAAGGCAGAAAAATGGCTACACGCGATGCCGCTTCGAATCAACTGCTTGATTATAAGAACGCGCAAAAGGTGAGTAGCTAATAAACCGAAAGTTCAAAAGATAACAGCAAAAAGGAATTTCAACGTTTTTTTTTCTGCAGCAAAATAACAATGAAACTTAAATTGTGTATTGACATTTTTTTGTAGCAGCGCAGTTTGCAGCGATCGAATACGCTCGCAGAGCCAAAGTTCAACTGAATGCAATGTTGTTTTGTTTCTCTCGCTTAGTGCTGCTCTCCTCGCTCTTATTCGCTCTCTCATTCTCGTACGTGGGTTAGGTGTGTGGGGCGTAGGGTGTTCGCTTTTCGTATATCAAAACAACTTGCGATTCTCTCAAGCTGCTATATAATATATTAATTATATATATTGCGCCAGGCGTCACGACTTCAATTTGTTTATTGTGTTTTTGGATTGTTATTTTTTTGTTATTTAATAGTTGGGCGCAGGATATAAGATACCCTATAAGTTTGAAGGTTTTATGGTTTGGTTCTTGGCTCCTTAAACGCAAGGAATCCTTTCGAACCAAATAATAATGGGATTTTTTACTTGATCCCATCGTCCTTTGTCTGCCTTCGTTAAGTTTCTGTATACCGAATCTTAATTAAATTATGCCACCAATTTTGACTACAAGCAGTGTGAACATTCTTATTTATTTATAAATCCATAATCAATCTTATCGTCACAGTTGTGATAACGCTTATCAGCCCATATAATAAGTAGTTGCATAGTTCCCAATTGTACCTAATCCAAAGGCCTTTCAAATCATTTTATAGACCCAGCCAAGAGCTGCCTTCGCCTAGCCCAAAAACGATTTCTCATGGGATGATAAACTATTTTGTACTTTTGATTATTTTCTCTCTTGGCACCTATATGTAAATTGCACTTATTTGAATTTCCCTATATTTTTTTAAAAGTTGCTTTCGATATACAAATTGAAGACGGGGGAAATATTGATGCATGATGTTCTAGTCGGAGAGGCAGACTCTAGTATATAAATTCTTGAACAGGTATCTTAACCTGGCAGAGATTATATATTTTGGAGTCGGTCATATCGGAACACTATAATATATAGTTGACTTAGAAAGGATTGGCTTAAAAGGGAGCTCTTGATATTGAGGAATACTTCAGCTTTATTCCTTAGTAATCCTTCGATATTGAGTTTTTGTTTTGATTAGACAAATCTATATATGTATATATATATACCTTACATCTGTCTGTTTATATATATATACATTCGCTTGCCTATATACTTATATATATTTGTGTTCATATTATCCTTATCTATTGATTCCATATGTGCGTATTTCCCCATAGTCCATATCCATTATCAATCTGTATCAACACATTATTTTAGGTGCGCTTTTTAATCGAAAGATAATCATAACTAATTTCCAGTTGATACTTTGATATATTTAGCTGGCAACCTTCTGCCCCCCCCGAGGCCCTCTTCCAATCAGCAATTCAAATCTATATATATATATATATATATATACACTTATATATAGCTGAGGGTGTGTTTAATTTAGCTAATTAACCTTGGACAAAATGCCATTAGAAAATTGAATTTCTGCTTGAATACACACGCAATGCAATTTAAATTGCTCAACATTAATTATTTAGTTAATTATGAACTAATATGCAACAAGTTGCACAAAGCTCTCGAAGCGGGGCCTTCGTAAAGGAGAGAGCTTGTTATCGGTAAGATGTGAGTTTTTTTATTAAACTTTTGTTGCCTCAAGTCAATGCACTTTCTCAAGTTGCATAAACTGGTTGCTAGCATTGGAGACAGCGATTTGTGTTGATTGAAGCCGTTGAACTCGCCACGCAAACGCCTTAAACTCGTTCACTTTGGCTGGGTAGGGCTGGGGGAGAGGGGGGGGGGAGGGGTATCTGCCACTTGGCTATTGCGTGGCACGATCAATGATCCAAAACAAGAAACAATTACCGACCACATTTGGTTATGTAATCCATTTGGCACTCGCCAGCGATCGCATATGTGAGAATATGTTTGTCGAAATCGCATTGGAACTGACCCACAAATCGGTTCGTGTTGTTGCCTTTGGCTGGCCCGACCTTTTGTGGAAACTAACCATAAACTGCATTTTGTCAGGCATTATTCGAATGCCTTTGTTTTTGCATACTATATTCGCACATCTTTGTTAATGGGAATGCCCGAAATAACTAAATAAATAAATATATGCACATATTTGGCATACTTGAAATACATTTGAAATACGAAAAGTTCTACGGTTGAGTTTTAGATATTTCATTAGATTTCTGATCAACACTTTCTATGTAAACTTTCTAATTGAGCAATTGTATTCTGCTTTTTTTAAGATTTTTTTTAAGATTCTCTTTAAGCGCAATCTTATCTTTAGTGCATATCAGTTGGAGGCTTTATAAGATTTCTGATCCAAAGGCTACAAACACTTTCTTTGTTAACTTTCTAATTGAGCAATTGTATTCATCTTTTTTTAAGATTTTTTTAAGATTCTCTTTAAACGCAATCTTATCTTTAGTGCATATTTATCAGTTGGAGGTTTTATAGGATATCTTTTATAATATATCCGATCCAAAGGGCGGAACACTTTCCTTTGTAAGCTTGCTAATTGTTCAATTTCGTGTTTTCTTCTTTTTTTAAGATTCTCTATATCTTATCTTTAGCGCACATTTATCAGTTGGAGGCTTTATTAGCTTGTTTCGTGCAGCATAAACAACTTGCAATTAAAACTTTCCGATGTTTTGCATTTTCTGTACTATCGATCGTGGGGTCTTATCAAAGTGCTCTTTATACACACTCACACACACACACACACTCACACACACAGGCACACTTGGAAGCTATTGTTTGCTTCTTATTATCTATCCAGGAGCGCCCTCTGATGTGGCCCCACATTCATTAAATGTGGCTGTCTCGAAGTCCAAACAATTGTGATTGCAAATCAGAAGAAAACTGCAAAATTCAGAAGCACATTTTGCACTATGTCGCACATCCATATATGTATATAGATATATACCCGATATATATATACATTTGTATATCAGGTGTTTTAGAGCGCACTCTAACAATGGAAAAGCTAAATGCGCCACAATTAAGCTAATGGGAGTTGTGATGAAATAGTTGTCAGCTTAATATGTCGTTTTATGGGTAAGGAAATGCGAAAAGCTTTTTATAAGTTATATAAGCTAAATGCATTGTTAGTCAGCTCAGTATCTTTGAGATACATTTAGTAAACAGCTCAGCGGACTGTGATTTATAAATATACACTTGACTTTTGTGTCCAGAATAACTGATAAGCTATATTCTGGGAGCGGCAACAGCTGCACCTTGCCTCTGGAATCATAAAGCCAAAAGGAAACCAACGAGCGATAGTATTATAATCTTTGCATATAGCGTATATAGAATTTGTACCTCCCGTGAAGAGCGATACGCACCTAAGGCCATCCAATTTTAATGCTTCTACTTGAGCTGGCAGTAAAAGTTGATTAGATAAGTTACCCGCAGCGAATACTTTGAACTCGACTGAAGAGAGAAACGAAGTGCAGCTATATTCGTATATCTGCGAATGTATAAATAGGGTATATAGTGTATATAGTGTACCTAGGATTAGTTGTAGTCTTTGCACTTTCTAGCGATAAAAGCAGCCAAGAGCTGATACATTTATCTGATCTTCATATAAACGGCAACAATTGCTCTTCTTTGCAGGAATGTCCCGGCGTAATTACTACGGGCAGCGGTGCACCAATTGGCATTAAGGATGCCACGCTATCCGTGGGTCCGCGCGGCCCCTTGCTGCTGCAGGACGTCAACTTCTTGGACGAGATGGCGCACTTTGATCGCGAACGCATTCCGGAGCGTGTGGTGCACGCAAAGGGCGGCGGTGCCTTTGGTTACTTTGAGGTCACCCACGACATAACCAAATATTGTGCCGCCAAGATGTTTGAGAAGGTCAAGAAGCGCACCCCGCTGGCCGTGCGATTCTCGACGGTGGGCGGCGAGAGTGGCTCGGCGGATACGGCTCGGGATCCGCGCGGATTTGCCATTAAGTTCTATACGGACGATGGCGTTTGGGATCTGGTTGGCAACAATACGCCCATTTTCTTTATTCGCGATCCCATACTGTTCCCCAGCTTCATACACACCCAGAAGCGTAATCCGCAAACGCATCTGAAGGATGCGGACATGTTCTGGGACTTCCTGACACTGCGTCCCGAGTCCACGCATCAGGTGTCGATCTTGTTCAGCGATCGCGGCACACCCGACGGCTTTTGCCACATGAACGGCTATGGCTCGCACACCTTTAAGCTGGTCAATGCCAAGGGTGAGCCCATCTATGCCAAGTTCCATTTCAAAACGGATCAGGGCATCAAGAACCTGGATGTGAAGACCGCAGCCGATCTGGCATCGAGCGACCCGGACTATAGCATACGTGATCTGTACAATCGCATCAAGAACTGCAAGTTCCCCAGCTGGACGCTGTATATACAGGTGATGACCTTCGACGAGGCCAAGAAGTTCAAGTACAATCCGTTCGATG